AAATAAAAAAAAAGATAATTTTGATAAAGCCAGCTATGAAATGTATGAGAATTTCAGCTTAGTTATAACCACAATTTTAATGCTCGAATTGTATGATCGTATAAATAATACTGATAATATTTAGTTTTCTTATTTTTGCATATTCTCAAAATAACATTAATGAATATTACTGACAAACGAATAAACAATCAATAATTGCTATGCTTTATCACATCATACATAACATATCTATTTGAATTCAATTTGTAAATTGCTGCATTTTTTAACTTAAATATCTATTAAAAAAAAAAGTTTTATCTGAAATGCAATAAGTGATAATTTAGAAGAGTATGAATACTGTTTGGCGTTATTTTGTAGTAATTTCACAACAATATATCGATAATGGAGGAAAAAAAATTTGATAACGTTCACAAGTAATCAATAAACATTTTTATAAATCGTTATCATATATCAGTAGAAATACGAAAATTATTAATTCATAACTGTGACATTAGAAATTGTATGCATAATGAAAAACTTCGCAAAATTTCTCAGAATTTATATGAAAATTTTATCTTTCTGTGTGAATTGTTTGAACGCTTTTAGCTTTCAACGCAATCATCAAATTTTTGTTGAATAAACATATGTCAAAATAATTCTTAATTTATTGAGCAAATTATTGTAATAAATTGAAATTGAAATGAAAAATATCATTTCTCCAAAAATCACATAATCTTTTTGCTTAAAATTTATCCAAATCATTTTTTTCTCTTTTTCGAAACATTTTAGTTATTTGATAAATTAAAAATGAAAAAAAACAAATTATTATTAATCAGTACAGTATTTCTAATAAATCATTGTGCAATTTTACATCTATGATGTTTACTGGCATAATTTTAAATTTTTATTACGGTATATTTGAAGTGAAAGATATGAGAGAGGACTAATGCATTTTCTTATTGTGTTATTGAATTTTTTTTTAAACAAAAAAGTGCTAAATGCATTATACAAAATTAAATTATTGGTTTCTCTCTTCTCTCTCTCCACCTTTCTTAATTAATATTTCAAAAAATAAAAGAGAAAAAAATATTTGAAAATATTTTCAACTTTTTTTCCACAGTAGCCATAAATATATTTTTGTATTTTTAGTTATAATTGAAATGGCACACAATCAACAAAAAAAGAGAAAGGAAAAGCTCATCTTCTAAGATTCTTCTTTACACTCTGAAAAATTCAGAAGCACTTTGCCAACATCACAAAATACTTTTAAATATTGAATACAAAATGGATGGATACCTTGGAAATTCAAAACTTCATTCTATAAATTCTATAAATTTAATTAGCTGGAAAAAAATGAAAAACAAAAAACGATTTTTTACATAAAATATTTGAAAAAGCAAATATTTTAATTTCCGAATGCATCATTTATTTTTTTGATAATTCGAATATTTCATGGAAAAAATTTCAGCTTTATGAAAGAAATTAATTGGAAGTATTTCGGAAATTTGTGTTTCCATTTTTTTTCGTCGAAATTTTCCAATTAATCTTTTTTTCACGCATTATGAAGAATGTTTTTCAGTTTTGCACACTGCTGAATTTGATTTTAGTTTTTGATATTGAATGTTATGGTAAAACATTTAAAGGTTTTTTTTTTTTCAAATTAGTTATAGATTCAGTTTAACAATGCTACGGAAACTCTCTTTCTTTTTCTGAAATTGCTAAATTGAAATAAATAAAGTAAATGATGGCTATTAATTGCCAACAAAAAAAAATTATCTAAAAAAAAAATCAAAATTGTCACCTTATATCGTTCAATACTGTTATCATCCTTACAATCTAGTTCAAAAAAAAAAAGTTCAAGCTTACAGAAAAGATTCCAGTTAATTGGGAAAACAATCCTTTGATTCAAAAAAAAAAAAATTCATGTTTTATAGAAAAGATTTGCAAGACTGATTAATGTCAATTCCATGATTTATCATCTTTATCAAACTGTAATTGAAATTAAAACCATTGCTTTGTTAATGATAATACTGTACCTAATAGAGAGTCATGGTGTTATTTTAATATAGTCAGTCTTTTGAAAACATTTGTAATTGTTGAAATTTAAATTGTAAAGTAGAAACTAAGCTTCAGTTGTAATCTTAAATATGACGAAAATAAGAATGTAAAACACAGTTAAATGTTGAAATCATGCAAAATTGACACAAAGATTGAAAATGAAAAAGTGATTCGATTGCGAAATATAACAAATGATTTTCTTTCATAATTTTTATTTATACCCTATACCATTTTATTTATACCATTTTAAATGTTATCATCAAATTTGTTTACAATGCATAAGTATAGTAATTGTTGATCGGGTTTATTTTTTTCTAGCAAAATAAAGCAAAAAGCTAATAATAGTAGCGAATGAAATTTCTTCTGAAACTTGACTTCTTTTCATTCAGCTAAATTATTAGCTTCATTTGAGCACAAAAAGCAATATTTGTAATGCTAAAATTATGAAAAAGATATTTTGATGATAAGTGATCGCTTCTAGTAAATTTGCGCTATTTTTGAAGTGTTAGCAAAGACGTAAGCAACGTAATTTTAAAAAAGTGATGTTAACTTTATTTCTCTCCCCTCATACAGGGATTTCAAATAAAATGTAACATTTTTTTTTTTTTATTTCTATCATTTCATAGTGAATGTTATCATCAAATTTGTTTACAATATTTATAAATAGCATAATTGATCACAATTTATTTTTTATTTTTCCAGCAAAATGAAGCAAAAAGTCAATGATGTAGGATAAAATTTTTGCATGAAAATGTTAAGAAAAAAATTCCACCAATTTCATTTTATAAAAAAATTAACAAACACGCAAATTTTCCAAGAAATTGTTACTTTATTAATTATTCTTATCAAATTGACAATATAAACATAACGGTAAAGAGTTTTGTCATGAATTTTAACAAAAACCAAAAATAAATAATGCACAAATCAATGAATGATCATTAAATATAAAAACAACGGTCATAAAATAATCATTAATTGGAACAAAATTTTTGATCATATGAAAGATTTAATTCAGACTAATTTGCATAAAATATCAAAGAAATATCAATGAATTAATATGCTTTGCTTTTCTTTCCGGTCATTATTAAACATTGTTCATTCATTGTTATTAGCATTGTTGTAGCTGAGTTTTAGAAGCCAAATTCAAGATAAACATTCTCGATATCAGTGTTCAAATTCAAGATCCACCATCCATCATTATATTTTTACTACATTATAGCACTTGAAGGGTACAGCTTTTTGAAAATAAAAGATTATAAATTTTACTGCGATAAATTTTTAATTTAATATGATAAAAATATTTGCAATTAAAGATATCATTTGAATATGATTTCATTCTCCTTATCATCCAGCATACTCCTTTATTTATTCTAATTTTACTTGATAGAAATGAAACATGTAATGAATTATAAATGTTAGTGAAATTTTAATGATGTTAAAATTTTATAGATGAATATGATTGCCAGTAAATTGGCAAGCAAGAATTCTGCACTAATATGCTATGCTGATATTGTAAAACTGATATTACTTCGATAAAGATCAAACAATTACCAGGTGAGATTAGGAGAAATTAGAATTCTATAAGTGAAATTCATTCAATAGATGATTTGGTTAACTATTAAGTTGTTTAACTATTAAGTAAATAAAAACGAATGAATAAGTAAATATTAATGCTATCCTGCTGAAAGAACATAAAAATAGAAATTATTTGTTATTATTCATAATTATAAATTGTAAATAAAAATTGCAATTACTATGATCCATTATTGATATTTTAGAAAATTAAACTTTTCTGATTACATAGCAAATAAAATAGTAAAAGTGAAATATTAATTAAAATGTAAATGAAATTCCATCAATTTGGGATCAATCTATTTGTTGGAAACAGTTTCTTAATTTCGATTCCAATGAAGCGTATTCAAAATTCCATTTGGCATTCCATTTGGAGAGATTTATTACGAAGTAATTTTTGACCCAGCATTGAAATTAAAAAAAAATGAATTGAAATGGCAAGTGTAGCAAGAAAATAGAATGAAAAATGCCTAACGAATGTAATCCACTGGCAATATGTAAAGGTCAGTAGGTAAAGGTCAACTTATTGATGATTTCTTTCTGCTGGAAATGATTTCAATCCTATTTCTTAAATAAAACACTCCACTCAATAGTAAATGTGAAAGAATAAAACGAACATTTTTTTCATCTGTATTCATTGAAATAAAATAGTTGCAATTGTTGTTTTTATTTTTTTAAAAAAAATTATCATTTATATTTCATTTTTAAATTCACGTAATTAATATAATAATTTATTTTTCTACATTCTTTGCTATCATCTGTAATTCAAAGTGAAAGTCAATAATGATTGGATATAAAAGCGTAGACGTTGAAATTTCACAAATTCAATTGATACAAATGATTTATATTCGATATCCAAGTTTAAAATTAAAAATTCTAAATAACGGATATTAATTTAAAAAAAAAAAAAAAAGCACTGGTAAGTAGTATTTTGTGTAGTATACATCCAAAATGAATCACTGAATGATTCAATTTGAATTGTTTTCCAAACTAAATCCCGTGGTCACTAAAGTCAACAAAGTGCAATGGAATGGAAAATTATTTGGGAGGTGAATGGTGAAGATGGAATAATTATTGATAGATCAGTCCACTCGAGAAAGAGAGAGAGAGAGAGAGAGAGAGAGAGAGAGAGAGAGAGAGAGAGAGAGAGAGTTAGTTCAGTTGACAAAACTCCTTTAATAGTTAGTTATTCGGACAACATTATTTAAGTGTAACATTATTTAAGTGTCTTTGATATGACCAATACTGCCACCATTGGTCACTCCAAAAGTTTGTCAACATTTAAACTGAGCAAATTTTATTTCCTCAATGTTAGTTTCATCGACTAAATCATCATCTGATCGTGATTATTTTTCATTTTTAAAAATTACAAAAATTTTATGTTGCAGAAAATGCGATACCTTTTGGAGAATTGTTTATTCCTTTTATTCATATTTATCATTTCATCAGTTGTTGCTGAGCGAAAATTTCAAATTATTTGTGCCGATAAATCATTGTATTGCAAACGAAGAAGCAATTTATGTCAAAGTAATGCATTTCGTAGTGTCATGCAATCACTTTGTAAGAAGTAAGTAAGCATTGTCATCGCATTTATAACAGATTTCATGTGATAAATAATAAAAGTTATCATTTGTAGTTCAGAAATTATGATCCAATATTATTTTCATTGATCATTTCCAAGATCTTTAAATTCTAATTCATAAAATTAGAGTTATTTTGAAAGAGAGAAAAAAAAGAATGAAATAAATTTGCGGTTAATTTTACAGGACATGTAATTTATGTGAGGATAATCGAAAAGAGGAAATAGTTGAAAATGATCAACACGAGAATGAATCTGATAGAGGTTTTCTTCTGATATTATATATTAAAAAATACTTATTTAACTTCAACAATTTATTAATTTTAGAATTCACATATATCTTCTATTGTATTATTCAATCAATTTTAAAATTTGATTAGTATATCACATAATTCATTATAGAAAAAGTATGGTTGTAATTGTATAATTCAATTTTTTTCTAGATTGATTAAATGATTGATTTTTAAAACCGTGATAATGTTTAGGTGATCAATTGTTAAGAAATTATTGCAGAAATTGTAGACATGGAAGAAGATGATGAAGATATGGATAATGTTGAATATTCTGAATCCGAAACAACAACTGATCAAGTGGAGGAAGAAACGGAAGAAGAAATTACGAAAGAGCCTACAACTATACTGTCTACAATTATTCCATATTCTACAACAAAAAGCATCAAGAAAACTGTATGTATGGATTCATCAATAGATTGTGAAGGTATTTGAATTTAGGAAATGTTTTACTGAAATTTTAACTGAATGGATGTATGATGCATGGATAAATTTTTAATTAATTTTAAATTTGTCCAAAATATTCCGATTAATTCGAAATGCAAGAATGAATGAATGACCGTTATGATATTTTAATGGAAAATTTGTAAAATAATCAATTTTTAGGAAAACGATATTTATGTAGTGAACGGAGATATGCGCAATTAATGAGTAGAGAATGTCCAAAAACATGTAATTTATGTCAGTCAGGTTTGTATTAATTGATTTTCCATTGAGTATTTTTTTTCATTTAAATTAATTTTCCATTTAAAATTTATTAAATTAAACCGTATGTAATGTATTAAAAAATTTTGTTGAAATTTGAAATAGAATTGAAAGTAATCTTTGAATTATTTTCATTTCGAATTCCAAAAAGATATTCTTGTGAACTTTTGAACATATCACATTGATTGACGATTATATAAATCAATTTATCATTTAATGAATATCCGACAGGTAAAGAATGTTCGGAATTATATGATTTATACTTAGGATGCTTAATTTTTTTCAATTTTAATTAATAATTCTGCTAAGATTTTCCGAAGTTTTTTCTTTTTTTAAATATTGACCATTTTTGAATGGGTAATCAGTAATTCAGTAATTTATAGGTACAACTATTAACGGTGTAACGCAGAATGGTATGAATATATGGAAATGTCACGATATAGCATATGATTGTATCCAATCGTTATGCAATCATCGAAGTTACCGACAACTTATGCAAACTGTTTGCAAGAAAACTTGTTTGTTGTGTTAATTGGACAATTGAAAAATTTTGTAGTTTTCATAGAGAAAATTAAGAATTAATTCTTAACTTTCAAAATAATAAAAAACAATTAAACAAATTCTTTTAGTTCTTCCCTGTTTTGAATAGAGCGTATAATCTTACGAATGAATAAATGACGGTTTATTTGTTTAATTACTGTTTGGTTGATCGAACTCATTTTTTTTTTAGAATTTGATGAATCATGGCAAAAAGCAATTTAAATACCAAATTCAAGAATTTAAATCCTCTTATCTATAATGTAAATTATTTCCTAAAAGTTACTTTCCCTGATTGAATTCGAATTATTTAAAAGAAAGAACTTTTATTGTCATAGAAGTATAGTATCAAAATGTCAAAACAACAGAAAAAATGTCTGCATAAATCAGTTCATACAAAGAAAAAAAATTGGTGGAATAATCAACATTTCACAAAAATTTGACAAAAATAATCCCTATCTTCGATGATAATAACTAAGTAGCAATTATAAAATGAAGATTTCGTTGTTTTGCAAAAAAAAACAAACAAACAAGAAATTCATAAATTTTACAGAAAAATGATAAAGATCATATCAGAGTTTCAATTTCGAACAAGATATAGGATTAAAAAAATTGTAAAGGTTGTTCGAGAATTTCGTGACAAATACCCCTCTCTCTCTATCTATCTATCTTTTCTCCCTGCTTTTCCTAATGCAATATTTGTAAAACGAATAGTTGACCTCAGTTTACAAAATACTAACGAATTATCGCCCTAATGAGTAGCTAAAGTTTACTTTAAATACTATTCTTTTAGCTTTTATTAACTTGAAAAAATTGATATTTGTTGATATAAGATACTACATATATGAGATATACATAGAGAATTGATGATGATAGCTTAATAAATGTATATGATGGAGCTAAAACTTGAAAAAAGCTGAATATTGCTCATAATATACATCAGATTATACATGATGGAGGGATATCCGATAGTAAAAATTTTGCTAAAGAAGACTGAAAGTATTTTGATTTCGAATTTTTAGGCAGTAATAGAAGAAAGTAAGCAGTTGAGCAGATGAATAAAAAGAAAGAACCTTTGATTAGACTGTTCATTCCTTCAGGAAGAGGGATGTGATAATCGAAACTATTAGGCAAATCAAGAGAACCAGAGGTAGAAGGGATTTCATATTTTAAATTTTAAAAGATTTCGAGCTCGATAAGAGAGGGGTACAGAAATCATGTACATATTTTGAAATCATAATTAAAAAAACTTTTAATGGGCAACATGGAAACCTCCGAGGCACACATTATTCAGCAGATATTTGTCTATCAATAAAACAATCGAACTAAAAAAGAACATATTAAAACATTCCCTTTAAAACAGATCATTCGCAGAAAAAATTTTATAAAAAGCAGCATTTCGGACCATTATTTTTTCAGATGGCAGTGGTACGAAAAAGCAGAAGTTCGAGTTTTAATCCAATTCGTTATTATAACCTAAAATTGGTTGCTGTTGTAACATATTTTCATTATATCCATGATTCGTTTGTCGTTTCTTTCGTCTGCAAATAACAGATAAACATTCGGTTAGTAAAACTTTATAACAGTATTCATCAAATAGATAGCAAAATAAACCAGGAAGTAGCAAAAATTGTAAAAATAACTTTTCTCTAATTTCAAGTGATCTAAGTTTATCTTGCAATAAGAAATAAAAAAGTTACTGATCAATGAACATAACTGTAGAGCTTTCATGATCATACAGTTACACAGAAGTTAAATAAAAATAAATGGATCAAATTTGATATATATCAGTCATACCTTTCGCGTTTTTCAACATTGTATGTTTTATAACGATTGAAAGCCGAGCATGCATAGATGATGGCAAATAACAACAATAACATGATGATGATAACTACAAGTGGATAAATCCATCTATATGAGCCTAGAAAATTAAAATTTAATTATCGTTGTCTGCTTTGAAACGATATATTTTTTAACCACATCACGCCAAATCTTAAATAAAAAAAGTTATATACATGATAATAAAATCAGTTGAATTGCTTCACTGCAACATATCCATTTATCCATTTCAATAACAAATTTTTCTCTATACGACAACAAATTTTCTCTTTATATTAAATATTCGGCAGAGCTGTGAAGATATCTGCTAAGTTCTTGTTGTAAATAAAAAATAAACTGTAGCGTAAGCTGAACCATTAAATTTGCAGGTAAAAAGTTAGCACAAATGAGAATCCCTATCTGTCATAATATTAATCATTATTTACGTTCATAATATCACATCCTTATCTTCGATATTAGTAGAGGGAATAGCAGTTTATACAAATATCACCGTGCTTACAAAATTGTAAATTTTAAAAATGAACATAACCAAAAAACTTTTTAGATTTAGAAAAACCTTTATACTTCATTCACGTTCTGTCTCTCGAGCAATGAGCAGAATTGCTAATACATTATCATTGCCAAAACAAAAATTTGTCGGACAAATACGACATATTTAAACACTCATTCAGGTTTTTCTTAAAATTTAACCGTATGATGTGGCATCCTTTCAGTCAAGAATAAAGATGAATAAATAATTCCAACTGCTGTCCTTTTTAATCGAATTTCGAAAAAAGCATGTTGCAAAGAAAAAACTCAATAAAAGATTAGTTTTTGATCGTTTTTTAGCGTAAAGAATGATGTATAAGATCTCACTAATTTCCCAAGAATTTTGAACATTTAAAAAAAAATATAATCTTCTCACTTTTCTACTTCCCCGTTGTTTCAGAGTTATTCCTTTTTTCTTTTTCTGGTCTGTCATTCTCTATATGGTTAACTTACTTCAAATACCAATGACAAAATATTTGAGATTCGCAATGTACAACTTCAGTACTACTTCCAAATTACTAATAAAAAGTAACTACGTGTAAAAAAGGGAAATCTTAAAGATAAAGTTATTTTAAAAATGAATGCTAAGAAACTACTTCCTCAAGTTATTTTCCCTCTCTCCAAAGTTGGTAAATGGTTCTTTTCATTTTTCATTCATTCAATCTTTCATTTTTCAGCACTTTTTCTCTTCATAATCTCTATTTTAAACTAAACTTCCTAAATATTTCTGATTTTTATAAGTGACACAAGAATTGTACGGACACAGCTGAGCATTTAGTTCTTTTTCTTTTAAGGGAATAAATTATATTTAAGTGTCAAAACTATTAAAATATATAAACAATGCAGAAAAACTTACTTTTCACCTTAAGTTCACGATCCAGTCGTGATTCCCATAGGATATTTTTGCCTTCAAAATATAAGGAAAATGAATTTTGCGCAACACATGAATAAACTCCTTTATCATCAAATTCAACCTTTGTAATTTGCAGGCCTTTTTCTAAAAAGGTTATCTGCTCTGTCGATGCTGCAACAATTTCTGCTTCAATTAGTGAAAATTTTTGAACAATAATATATTATTAAAGAAATACATTAGATAAGCCAAAATCACTGTTTTTTTCATCGAATTAGGAGCCAATTTCTGGTTCCTAATTATATCAATCACTGGTACTATTCATATTAATATATGCAACAATATAACACTTACCAACAGGCATATCATTTTTATACCAGTGAATAGTTGGTTCTGGAAAGCCTCGTACCGGACAAGTTAGTATTACCGTTTCACCTTCCGTTGCTTTCAGAACGGGAGCTTTAATGCGGAAATGATTATCTCCAACTGCATCCAAAGTCTTGGAGTGGTTCATATGGAAGACAGGGCGCACTGGAATAATCATGAATAATCCAATAAAGTTATTTCCAAACAATAATATCTATGAAACAAAGCATCCAAAGTAGGTCACGAAATTTTATAAATCCTTAAATTGTTTATAAACGCACAAAAAAACTAACTATTCACGAATAACCATCCCCATACTAATTCGTTCTCTTCGGTAGTAATTTCGCAGCGATACCTTCCTGCACTCAAAACGGATGTATTGCCAAATTCCAAAATTGCTCGCGTATGATTGCTGATAATCGCTGGGAGAACTTCCTTATCATAATCTCGTACAAAGTGAGCTTCTTTGATAGGTATCAATTGCTGAGTTTGATTGGACATTGCTTGACACCTGAAAACAATGTTCGGCGTACAAAAAATTTACTTGAACAAATAGAAGTGAGATAAAATAATGTTTTCCTATTTCTCGCGATTTTAATTCTTAAAAAACAATCTTATTTTATCGCTAAAATTCAAAGGACACTCCTTCGCGATTCAATTCTCCCTTTCATTTTAAATGGAAATAAAACGGCAAAAGCTAAAAGTCAGGTATTACTTTTTTTTTTTCTTATTCGAAATCACGAATAGTTATGCAATTTGATTTCATATTTACAATAAATTATTAGCAAAATGGAAATTATTCGATTAAAAAATAAATGGGAAAATTTGAGCTTACCATAAATTAGGTACATTTGCCTTGAGAGGATGATCATCACCTGATTTCGCTGAAGTAGCATTGAAAAGTACTACCAAATTGCCCTGTGCAATCGAGTTATTACCAGCGAGGATTGTATTGCACGAGTAATCTGTAAATGGAAAATTTTTTATAAAAGTGAAAATCAATCGAAAATTATTGATGATAAATCTAACAGTAAACGATCTTCAACTTAATGTAAACTAATAAATAATTAATATTCATTTCTACTACGATATTGTTTATCTCCATCTCACATGAATTACAAATAAATAACTACGAATACATGTACATGTAGAGTATTCTTGGCATCATTCAATAGTCTAATTAGAAAATGGATAAATTGAAATGTCGCAAACAACAACAATCATTGAAAACGTACTGTTTACATGTATATTTATTATGTGACAAAAACATGCTACGTACATATCATAAGCTCTCGAAAAATTTTCACATTTCTGATTTTATATTCCAATGAAGAAAGAATAAAACACTTGAAAAATACAGAAAAAAAACAGAAAACTTACTGAAGAAAATAACGAAGATAGCTAAAATGGATCGCATTTGTGTACTTTTCTCGTACTGTTTTGTTGTTGTTTTCAAAAAATTTTCAAACTAATAAAAATTAAAAGTTATAAGAAAATGGAAAAAGAAAGAATATAGCAGCTTCTTCTGTTCGTTTATATGTCCACTTAACTGACGGCAAATATCGCATAATTTGAAACCAAATATGCAAACATGCGGAACAGAATAGCTCTCTCACGCGTACATCTAAGCGTATTTGTTTGTTCTGAAGAAGATTTTTTTTTTAAAAAAAATTCAAACATTGTGATGTAATGAGTATTTGAAGTTCGACATAATTGAATGATTTCGTATACGAGTCACAACAGTGAAAACAAAATTTCGAATCATAACAAACGATTTACTTATATTCTTGGAATGACATAGAATAAGAAATTTACTTATTGGTATAGAATAAGAATTGAGAACAATAAATGATAAGTTAGTATTAGTATAGATGAAATGATTAGAACAAATGAGAAAAATGTTTTTTAGTGCATTTCAAATCTCAACCCTCAATATCGTGACATTTATATTGAAAACAACATTCGAATTCAATTGCAATTCCTTACAAACTCATTAAATTTATCTAGCAGAAAACTTATGCCAAACTACCATAAAATCAAGACAATAGTTTACCTTCATGCTTTATTAAAAAGGTAAAACTAAATACCTGAGAAGTTAATATGAACAAGTTAACTGTTAAACCGTGAATTCGCAACTTATATTTATGCATTTATTTTTTGTCTAAATTTCGACTTTTATTTGAGCGGCTTAACAAAGTGAGTGGGAAAACCTCTCCGGATATGAAATACATTAAATTCTTTGGTGTACTCCAATAATTTACACTTAATTTTTCACGATGGATTATTACTTACTTTATAAATTATGACTTCAAAAACAGATAGATGAAGTTCAAAACTCTGACGCAAATAATTTTGACGAATACCCGAATTTTGTACAATCAAAAACAAATAAAGAAAATTTTTTTCACTGGAAAAATCGATTTTTTTAAAATTTCCTGACAATGAATGAGGAATAAAAATGGAAAGACGGAAACAATGTCTTTTACTCACCAACTAAAGCAATGACTTTGGTTATAAAGAATAATTTTGATCAAAAATGTCTTTAGCATGCTACTGCACACTGCAAATGTAGATAAGTTTCCGGAAAATGTTATCCAGAATGTTCGTCATTAACAGGAAATTGAAACGATAGCCGCTTTTTCATCAATTTCCTCGCATTTTCCAATGCTTCTTTGACACATCCAACTATTCTCATTTACGGCTTAAAAAAAAGAAGAAAAACCATTCATCAGAAGAGAGGCAACGTAATCAAATAAAAGAAATAAGTGCTTAATCGGAATTGAAAGAAAATTCATAAAATATTGCAGGAATTAAATTAAACAAATAAATGAAAAGAACATCTCACGTTCAGTTTTAGATATATGCAAAAATTAAGTTAAAAAACTATAGCAGAAATAACTATTGGACATAAAATCAAATTCAAAAAGAGATGAGAAATCAGTTTTCGAAATAAAATATGCGATTAAGCGAATCATTGTGCGCATTTTCACTTTCTCATTGCTCTCAGCAAGATAGCATCAATCACGTTTTTTAAGCATTTGCACGTAGGAAATGCAGCGTATTATATATTTTCTATTTCCATGCTTTTATTTCTAATCAATGCAATTTAATCTGTTTTCTTCCATTTATTTCCTATTTTTTAAATCTTTGAAGAATTTTAAGGAATTTTAATTTACATATTGCCTCATGTTTCTTTCTTTTATTTCATATGTAATAAAGTTGAAATATTGACTGAAAAAAAAGGTGTCAAAAAGTTAGCAAATGATGCGCATAAAAAGATTTTCAAAACAATCAATCTATGACCTATGATATGATAACCTTTTGAATAAGTAAATTACAGTAATATTAGCAAGAGAAAGAAAATAGCCATTTGCATCTTCTTGATATGTGTATGAATGTGAACTGACACATATAACAAATTCCAAATCACCTGACCAGTTGCGTACATTTCTTAAATTTAATAAACTACTTTGTAAATAATTAATTGGAACATAGATAGAAGTGAAATATTTCAGCATTTTCTTTGTTAATTTAAATGATAATTACGAAATTTTTATAACATGACGTGTTCTCTAATTAACCGAAAAAAAACGTACATTTCCTCTCTTCACGTAACCATTTCATCCAAATCAAAAAATTAGCATTGAAAAATAAGTTATTCAGATAAGAAAACAGCACTGATTAGTTAGTTAGTTAGTCACATAATATAAGTTGAAAAATATGAATTAATCGATGAAGAAAAGTGTTGAAGGAAATGGAACAATAAAAAGTTTTCCGTGTTAAAATAATGAAAGGCAAATAAGATGTGCATTTTTCAGGAAATCCATACAAACATACCCTTACATTTAATTACATCAAATGATATAAGCGATCAATAGTGAAATTGTAATGTAAAAAGCAAATTTTGAGTATAAATTAAATCATTCCAGTTCGATGAGAGAAATTCCAATATGCATCAGTAATCAGTAATCAAATAGCTTATTAGCTCATCCATCTCTATATTCAACCAATCAGCTGAAATGTATGTATAAATTGGGGTTAAATTATCTCATACACATATATGAATATGAGACAGAAGAAATGCTGTCATATCATAATAATAGATGAAAATTTATTGATAATAGGAAATCTGTTTAATTAATCGAACATGAAACCTGTTTATCTAAAACACCTTTCATTTCACCTTTAAAACCAATAAAGAGAGAGAGAGAGAGAGAGCAGAAAAAAAAACGAACAATTCTTCTATCATCTTTTTATCATTATTCATTAATCGACGGATATATGAGTCATTGAAAGTGTTTTCTGTTTTTGTTTTTTTTTTGTTTCCTTTTTGCTTGTAGTTCTAAAATTTAACTTTTTATATGCATTTGTAACGATAGCTAAACCGATGAGAAAGATGAAACAGAAATACGAGAATAACGACGGACAAACGTCTTTCATGTCGAATACACGTGACTGTCGTAAGACGAAAAGAATGAAGAGGAGAGAGAGAACGAGAGATAAAGAGAAGATATTTGATCCTATCTTCTCTGATCTAATCTTTCAGATCTAATCTGAAAACAACTTTTTTTGAGAGGTTATATAATTCGGAAAGAAAATTTTTCCACAAATTCCTCTACTTTTGGTTTTTGTTTTTTTAATGTTTTATAAGACTGAGATTTTTCAGAAATATTTAAATAACCGGCATTAATGTTAAATTTTATTTGAATTTTTAAAAGACAGCAATTTTAAGAGATCATTTGAGTAAGTTATTTGAATGTGAAAGAAGGGAAAAAAGGAATGTTATATGAGAACAGAATAAAAAAAAGGATATGCAAATTGAATTATACTGCCAAAACTATTGCCGTTTGTTTTCTCACATAATGAAAAAAAGAAAAATGGATCGAAATGCACGAAATGCATCTTGGATGATCCAAATGACCCGAATGATTCGAACTTAGCATCTTTCTACTTTTCAATCTCTTATTACAAAATGATAACATTATGACAAAAAATAGGAAATGAATGATAAATTAGAAATGGAGGAGCTATAAAATATACTCAAAATAAGATATTTCAGTATTATGATATCTTAATGAGTAAAATTGTGCATCAGTAGATACAGTTGAAGTTGAAGGTGTAGTATTCACTTACTTTGTATAATATTTACATTATTTACACAATATTATCCAAATTTTTTTCATTGGCTAAATTTTTATTACAAATTTTTATTATTTAACTTTCTATTTTATTTCCTATTGCATACTATATTTACATATTTACATTAAAATCAGTATATTATGGAGAAAAAAGTTATTTACTCAGCAGGTGCATTTCTGTAAGTCTTTTTTTTAATAATTCTTTTTTACTGAATTCTAAAGTATTTAAATAATTTACTCTTCCGCCTTCTCTCTCTCTCTCACTCTCCCTCTGATTCTTTGATCGGTCACGCATCTTTCTTCTTTGTATTTTGGAACGCTTTGCATGCACCCTTCAGAGATGAAGAAATCGAATTGTAGTGATTTAAACTGAAATGAATAATCAAACATAAAGCGCGTTCCAGATGTTTTTCGTTTTCACTTTTTTTTTTAATTTCTGTTTAAAAATCGAACTGAAAAATTGTATGATTAACGGTGATGAACAATAGCAAATTTTATAGTAATATTTTCATTCACACAGATAGTATAATGGATGAACTTTAGGAAAAGACTAAAAAAATGTATGCGTCATCAATGCTAATAAATTTTCATAAATGTTAACTGACTAATTGATTCATCCAATTGATCATAAGGAGATTAATTTGACCATTTGACTGATTAAAAAAAGAAGAAAAAAATTAAGTATGATTTATGATTGCTATCACTATCACATTTGTTATCAGATGGAGATAACTTTTAAGATGGTAGTGAAAGCATTTCGAAAGTTATACATTGAACACTTCCCTTTCAATAAAAAATGTATGAAGAAATTAGAAGAATGCTAACTTTTTTCTATCAGTATTTAACATTTCATGGGAGAAAGATGAGCAGGAAGGAGAGATTCAGTTAGATCAATAATAAAGAAATGAAAATAAAATGAGATTTAATTTATGATTTTTGTAATTCATACAATTTTTTATAATTCTAAACAATCCTTGAGACATCAGTTTATAAGTTTTTGCTAAATTAAAATTGAACAAAAAGGTTTAGTATGACAAATGATAAGTTGGATATGAGTTTCAAATTTGATTATAAATAATAATAATATTAGTTGAAATATCCCTGTATAAATTAATAACTCAGTATTACAAATCAAGAATAGCAGTCCATGAGTGAAATGGGAAATCTGAAAATTTTGAGCAGGATAAATTTCAAAATTTCAAATAATCATAATCAGGCAAGAGAAAAAAAAGAAATGCAAACTTCATAAGCTGTTTATTTTCTGGATTGGATTAAAGAA